ATGGTTTTGCCTGACCAATGTCGCTGCTGCCCCCAAATTCCAGATGGGGTAGGACCACTGTCTCGTTCATGCAAAATTCTACTTTACGGAGCAGGGAGAAAGGCCTGCAAAGTTTTCGAAGAGAACTCCCAGAACGACCACCAACTGGGAGCTCTTTGGCACTACTGCAGCAACATGGGACGATGACATCACTGACAACGTTGATGAAGAATATGATCGACTGGTTCAGCACCTCCATGATTGTGCGAGGAATGCCGAGAGAGATAGCCACAAAAAAAAAATAAATAAAAAGCCTGTCTTTGAAAACTCTTGAGCTCATTCACCAATGTGGCTTGGCGTAAGCTTCAGGCAACCGCAAGCTAATGTCCGAGCTCGCAAAGCAGCGCAGAGAAGCGATAAAGGAAGACCTCAAAGAGACAAGAGCAGCAGTGCTGGTAAGATATGGCAGAAGCCGGGAAAAGCATTCACAATGCCTGCCTTTCCTTCACCAACTACAGACCAAATTCCCAGGATGGATATGTCCTTCCCAACATTCTCCCTTCCAAAATCTGACATGCCATTTTGTCGGTAAAGAAGCAAACAGAACCAGACTCAGACAAGGTCAGACCCAAACACCTGAAAAACCTGTCGTCAGTACTCATCAATACACTGGCTCGGCTCTTCACATGCTACCTGTATGAATGCAAGGTTCCATTCAATGGAAAAACAGCAGGACTGTACTACTGTACAAGTAGTGAGACATCCACAACATTGGCAACTATCACCTGATCTGCCTGTTGTCTGTTATCTACAAGCTATTCACTGGAATCCTGAATAGGATTGGCAAAACACTAGATGAAGGACAACCATGCGAGCAAGCCAGGTTCTGAAAAGGATTCAGCACAATGACCATATCCACATGATAACCAAGCTCATCGAGTTTTCTCAGGAAGTCAAGATGCTGCTTTGTCTAACATTCATTGATTTCAAGAAGGCCTTTGATTCTGTTGAGGCTGAAGTGATCATCAAATATCTAGCTAAACAGGGCGTTCAAACTCAATACATCAGGATCCTCCGTGAGCTATATTATGGATTCACTACCAGGATCTCACCATTCTACAAGGAAGTGATCATCCATGTCAAGAGAGGGGTTTGGTAGGGTGATACCATTTCACCAAAACTCTTCAGTGTCACCCTCGAGAACATCATGCGATGACTGGAATGGGAAGGAATGGGAGTGAAGATAGACAGTCGGCAAGTACACCACCTCCACTTCGCTGATGACATCATTTTAATAACACCAAATATTAGCCAAGTAGCACAAATGCTGGCCAACTTCAACCATGAGTTTGGAAAGGTTGGACTATAGCTCAATCTTGAAGACAATGGTTATGAGAAATGGTCTCGTTCCTGGTGTTTCATTCACTCTCAACGGAACGAACATCTCTGAATGCAACAGTTAAGTGTACCTAGGTCAAGAGTCAACATGACAAATGACCTGGTACCTGAGTTGCACAGGAGGAAGAGAGCGGCTTGGAACAACTTCAAGAGCATTGAAGAAAAAAGTAAGAGGACAAACAACCTCTGGCCCTGGGCACATCTCTTTGATTCCACTGTTCTTCCTGCATTAACATATGCCTCAGAGAGCTGGGCTCTTAGAAAACAGGATGAGAATGCTATTTGGGTCTCCCAAAGAGGAATTGAAAGAGCTATGCTTGGAGTATCATGCTTCATTCAAGTGAGAAATAGAATCCGGAGTTCTGACCTCCATCAACGGTTGAGAATCAGGGACACTGTCTTGTTTGCCAAGGCATCAAAAATCAGATGGGCTGGACACATAATGAGATTTGGAGATGACCGCTGGGCTAGAGCCATTACTGACTGGATTCCACAGGTGTCAAAAGATCACATGGCCGCCCACCTTCGAGATGATCAGACTTCTTTGTCAAGACCCTGAATGATCGGTTTGAAGTTCTTTGTATTCCGAAAATGAGCAGATGCCACTGGGCTACACTAGCACTTGATAGGGACGAATGGAGATGTTACTGGTGCCCGCTCGAGAAAATCGATGAGTAATGGGATGTCAAGTGATTAAGTGATTATTATCATCTTAATGTGATTTATCTTTGGCTGGTATTGCTTTCTTCTCATAAATCTCATAAATTGTGGGTGTCCAAGTAACAGTGTAGAGTGGTCACATTTATACTGTTATTATACCAGCACTAGTTTTTGTTTTTAAAACCAGTATTGTATTTTGGGACTATGGATTTTTCTAAACTACTGAGTTAATATAAATTCAGACCAGTGGCATAAGCCTGAAGATTTGATGTCTCTGGGGAGAATCATACACAAGCATCACATTTAGAAACAATCAATAACTCTCTTAGGGCTGGGATTAGAAGAGTCATTTCAAAATTCCACTTGTACATATCTAAGCCAGCTCTCAATTTTGAAAGGAGACTTAATATTTAAGCCCCAAATTGCCAGGACTATCCTCATGACCCCACTTCCCTGTCAGAGTACCTACTTGAATATTTATCCTTCTAACGTTGAGTTCTTTTTCTAATTCAGGAGCATTTCTCTTTTTTCTTTGAAAGTTTAGTTCTATATATAATCTGACATCATGGCTGCAATTTATGCAGCATTTTCATGTGTTTTTTAGTAGAACAGAAGGAAGATTATAACAAATGTGACCAAAGCTCAGTCTATTATATTTCACAAAGCCAAATCATTTTAAAATTCTTGATACCCCTGTTTTCAAAAACCATAAGCAGTCCATGAGGAAATCTGAGTGTCTTCAGTGCATAATTAAATTGTAGCATTGTAGCACTGTCCTCCAATTATTAATCGATTTGCTCGAGCGGGCACCAGTTACATCTTCATTGTGAGACTTATTGTCACTGTTTTTGGCATATCAAATACACCATGGGGAGCTTGCCAGGCTTTTTCTTCTGGGAGTGATACTCTCAGTAGCTTGCCAGGCTCTCCGAGAGGGACGGAGGAATTGAATCAGGGTTGGTCGCATGCAAGGCAAACATCCTGCCCGCTGTGCTTTTGCTCCACCCAATTAAATTGTAAATGAGTAAATTAACCGAGGAAAAATTACTAGTTAACAACTATCAATCTCAAGGCTTATTTTTTGAGGGGGTCACAGCCAGCCATACCTGGACTGCTCCTGGCAGTGTCTGAAGGACCATCCAGTGTCAAGAGGTTAAACAGTGCTGCCCTCATGCAAAGCATAAGCTTAACCTACTGAGTTATGTCTCTGGTCCTCTCAACATATTTTAATTAAAAAACTGTCCTTTGCTCCAAAAGTTTATACATATATAAAATTAAGATATAAAATCACAATATTGATTAAAAGATTGACCTAAGAAATATGGCAATTAAAAAGTATTTAACACTACACACTTAGGTTAAGTTTTTAATTATCCTGGGTTACTTCCATATCACTGTCACTAACCTCCTTCAATTTGCTTGAGTGGGCCCAGTAACGTCACCATTGTGAGACTTGTTGTTACTGTGTTTGGCATATTGAATACATCATGGGTAGCTTGCCAGGCGTGTCAGTCTCATAATCTGAAGGTCCTGAGTACTTCCGTATAAGTATAGAAAAATGATAGGATGCTAAAATACATGTTCTAAAAATATATGTGCTAGTAACATTTAAATAGATGTACTAAAGATAAGGAAAATGTTTTCACAAGAGGGGTATCTAAAGGTCATATTATAAATGAGAGAAAAAAATCACAAATTCCTAAAGTGATCTGTGAGGGAAGAAAATAGAATAAAATGAGCATAAATCGAGGGAATATATGTATATATTTATTTATTCAATTAGATTTTCATAAAGTTTGGTGACTAAACTAAAATGGGCTTTTCTTTCCATTCTTATATCATATATATGCATATATATCGATATGCTGATGCCAAAAATTGCTTTATTTTATATTTCCTCAAAATAAAATGTCAAAGGGGGAAGACTGAATTAATTTTTCATCTGAAATTCAGCCAGAATGTCTTAAAGCTTAAGGAAACTCATTTTAAAAAATGGGTCCAAGTTTAAATAACCTTGATGAAAAAAAACATGATCAAATAAAAATAAAAAAAACACAGAGAGAGGAATCGAGAGATAGATTAGTGGGTAGGGCACTTGTTTTGCATGTAGTCAACCTGGGTTTGATCCCCGACATGTATATGGTCCCTTAAGCAATGTTGGGAGAGAGTTCTGTGTATGGAGCCAGGCGTAACTCCTGAGGATTGCTAGATGTGCCTCCTTCCCAAAACAAAACAAGAGAGAGAGAGAGAGAGGCACTTTAATAGAACTAAGTAGGGCAAGGACTCATAAAAGAAAGGAATTATAAGCAAAGAAACAAAGAACAAGTAACAGAAATATCTGCTCTTTTTTCCCTTTTATGCCTCAAGTCTTCAGATTCTTAGCAAGATAACTAGAAGGTGTATTTAAGAAGACTAGTTTCTAGTTAGTTATATACTTTGGGGGAATCCAAGGACTAGTATATTGACTTGAAGGTGGAAAAGGAGAAATATGGAAAGGTGGTTTGAGAACAAAACTGAGTCCGATCTTTAAAATCTCTTGAACTGCCGGGTGAAGGTGGTCACAAATTGGCACCAGAAGTGATGAACTGAAATGGAGAACGAGAGGAGCACATTTTTTTGTGTGCATGAGGATTCTAGTAGTGACAAAGAAATATTGGCAGGATACATATCAATGATGAATTAACATCTTTGGTGAAAAATGAATTAAACTTAATGTCATAAATGATAAGAGATATGAGAAGTAACCTCAGCAGTTATATTGAGATAAAGAGAGCACACCTGTATATAAGATCAATCTCTTTCACTCAATTCACAACCTCCTGAATCATTTGTTGTTGTTGTTGTTGTTGGGGTACACACTTGGTAGTGCTCAAGGTTTACTCCTGGCTGTGCACTCAGGGATCACTCCTAGTGTTGCTCAGGGAACTGGATAGGGTGCCAGAGATCAAACCTGGGTTGGACGCATGCAAGCCTTACTGACTGTAGTACTGTGCTACCCTAGTAAAAGGCGATTTTTTCTTTCCGATAGTGCTTACATACTTGGGCTGTGTTTGGGAGGAGGAGCCAAAAGGTTAAAAACAGTGGCCCTGAATCAAGGCTCGCAGCCCTCGCCGCAGGAGCCTAGAGAAAGCCTTTCTAGGGTCTGTTGGCCATCTCCGCATCCGCAGTGCGATGGTCAATTCATTAGAAAGGAACATCCGGGCGGGGGGAGCTTTTGGGTCTGGGCAAGGCGCCTGGCGTCTGTGCTGTGGTCGAAAGCCATCTTCGCGGGCTACAAGCGCGGCCTGCAGAACCAGGGGGAGCACACGGCGCTGCTGAAAATCGAAGGAGTTTATGCTCGGGATGAGATCAAGTTCTACCTGGGCAAGAGGTGTGCTTACGTCTATAAGGCGAAGAACAATACAGTGACTCCTGGTGGCAAACCTAACAAAACGAGAGTGATCTGGGGAAAGATGACCCATGCCCACGGAAACAGTGGCATGGTTCCAGCTAAGTTCCGAAGTAACCTTCCTGCTAAGGCAATTGGTCACAGAATCCATGTGATGCTGTATCCCTCAAGGATATAAACTTACAGAAAAGTAAATAAATAAAGTCTAGATATTTTTCTCAAAAACAAAACAAAACAAAACAAAACAAAAAGGGTTAAAAACAATTGCTAGATCCCACTTCTGGGTATCTACCTCAAGACTACAACAATTTTATTCAGAAAAGACATTTGTGGTGCACATATGCTATCTGAGACCACGTGCTACCTGTGCCCATGTGTTACTGCCAAGAACATTTAGTACCTGAATGTATGTGTCACCCACATCTTCCCTAGAGATGTGTATTTTGTATTTTCATATCGCATGCTAGGGTGTGTACTGGGGATCCCAATCTACATTGGGAAAAGCCTTTGTTCTTTCTTGAGTGAATTCTTCTCTTCTCTTCTCTTCTCTTCTCTTCTCTTCTCTTCTCTTCTCTTCTCTTCTCTTCTCTTCTCTTCTCTCCAACTCTCTCTCCCTCTCTCTCTCTCTCTTCTTTCAACTCCCCCTTCCTCAAAACTTCAAAATAAAATCTGTTATATTCACACATACACACACACACACACACACACACACACACACGAAAAGACATTTGCGCTCCTATGCTCATTGCAGCACTATTTGCAATAATAGTCAAGATCCGAAAACAATCCAAGTGTCCAAGAACAGATGACTGAATAAAGAAACTATATATACAGTGGAATGCTCCTTGGTTCTAAGAAAATACAAAATAATACAATTTTCATCTACATGGAAGGATCTGAGAATTATGTCGAGTGAAGCAAGAAAGGACAGATACAGAATGATCTTTCCCCTTTGTGGGATATAAAGAAACAGTAAAAAAAAAGCGCAAAAGAAAATGAAAGTTGTAACTGCTCATTGGTAGGAAGCAGAGGGGATTGGGAGGGAGATGAGAGAGTAGGGGAAGGGAGACAGGGACACGGGGACACTATGGTGGGAAGAGGACACTCTGGTGGAGGGTGTGACATTTTGTCTAAGAAATTCTAGCATTAACAGTACTATAAATCACAGTGCCTAAAATAAAGTAATTGCTAGGACTTTCTAAACTTGACCCATGAACTTACTAATATGAGTTTAGCACAACTGCCAAAAGATACTATTATTAGATTCGTTCATAAAATCATCTCCAGTAAAATATGTTTATTTCAGAGATACTTAGAACTGGCCCTAATATCAGGACTTAATTTAGGATTGGCCTTAATTTAGGACTTGCTATGAATATATGGGCAAGCATTCTGAATTTATTTGGGGGGGTTAAATGTGGGGGGACTACATGCAGCTGTTCACTGGGCTTACTCCAGGATCTGCACTCAGGGATCATTCCTGGCAGGCTTGGGGGACCATATGGAATGCTGGGGATCAAACTCAGGTCAGCCACAAAAACGCTAACACCTTATCTGCTGTACTATCATTCTGGCCCAGTATCCTGAATTTTAATTGCTCTTTGTGCTTGATTTACAACCATCTATCATGTATGTGTTTTGCTTCAGGTACCAAATATTAGGTAATGTCCACAAGGTAAGATAACTGACTTTTAAAAAGAGTATACTGGAAACAAGATATTATTTGAGTCCCAATTAAATGCCAAAAGAGAACAGCCTAGGGCACATTCTAGCAACATCAAATACTAAAATGCTGACAGGATTAAATGAGGTGTCTACACACAGAGGTCAGATACAGGACCCCAGTGTATCCAGTGAAGAGGGAGAAAAAAAGAAGCCAAATATCTAACATGAATAGTGTCAAGTGAGACAATACTGCTGGACAGTAAGTTAACTGAGCAGACCCTGGAAGCATTAGAGAGGAACCATGCTAGAAGAAGAAATAAAATAGGAGCTATGATGGCACCAGAGGTCCACTGAATGGATTGATTACATGTTGCAGGGGGCTTAGTTGCTTCAAGTTGGTATCCAGCTGGACCAGATCACCCAAATGATAGATGTTTGTTAACATGATCATCCAAAAAAACATAGGCACTTATGTTAACACTGACATTTGCTCAAATTTGGGAATGTATTGTCTCATTCAGAAACACGCTCAAGTTGATTTGAAAAACAAGGATTAGTCTCCTTTCATAATAGTCACACGTTGATATCTGATTTCAGCTAGCAGTAATCATTTTATGGATATTCCTGTTACTAAATCCTTCCTTAAACCAATCAAACCTCTGAAAGATGCAATTTTGACATTATTGGGAATAAGTCAAGAGGTTTAACTACAAGATCACCTAAATATCAGTTCTCTGATATACTTAAACAAGTAATCCTATCACTGGAATCCCTACCTGGTAAAAGAGGAAAGGTAAGATTATCTCATGATTATAACTGCTAGTTCACAGATTTGCTATTTAAGAGTTATACAGAAAATCAGACTGAAGTAATATATAATAAATCACTGAATATTAAACTAAGAACATGAGAAAATAGAAATTGGTTGTCTTAATAGAGTCTGAATCAGAAATAAAGTTTACTGATCAGAAATGAAATGGAGATGGGCAGATTGGCAAACGCTGTAAGTCACAATTATAGTGACTGATGAGATCATTCAGTGGAAATTAACAATTACTTTTTAATGAAAAAGAATTTTCATCTTAAAGTTTCTATCCATATATATTAAGTAAAAGTAAGGTAAAGGTAAAGGTAAAGGCCCTCCCATTGATCGTCGATTTGCTCAAGCGGGCCCAGTAACGTCTCCATTGGAGACTTTGTTGTCTGGCATATCGAATCAAATACTCTCGGTAGCTTGCCGGGCTCTCCCACTTCTGACAGCATATATATTAAGAATATACATATTTCAATAATACATATTAAAGATAATGTAAAAGTTAAAAAGATTTCTATTTTTTTTACTGTAACTATTACTATGTCTTTGTGAGTTTGTCACAATATAAAGCATATTGTTAGCCAGTAACATTAAACCAGTTTAGAAAATTTATCTAGAGTACAATATACAACTGTCAGTTAATATATGATTCTTTTGATTTAAATACTATCTGCAACTATAATTTTTTTCTACATGGAGTATATTTCAAATATTATTACTGATAATTCTATATAAATTGGCAAAGTAAAAGTGACTTAGAGAATAAAATTAAATTCTAATCACTATTTACATTACCTTAGAATTTGGGTTTAAATTTTAAAAATACCTCAAAGCATAAAGTAATTTTCTATTGTTGAACTGTATGGCTTTTCTTCACTGAACTTAAAAGGGAATAGTTTTGAATAAATAAAACTAAAACAGGGACAGAGAGATAGTACAGCAAGTAGGGTGCTTGCCTTGCACGCAGTCAACCTGGTATCCCATATGAGCATTGCCAGGAGTGGTTCCTGAGTGAAGAGCCAGGAGCAACCCCTGAGCACTGCCAGGTATGGCCCCAAAACAAAAATAAAACTACAAAATAATATGATAACTGCAAGCAATATCCCTGGAGTTGTTTTTACATTCTTTGGTTTTGGTAGTATTGATACAAAGAGCATTTAAAATATTCCTCACATATGAGTGGATTCTATAGAGTAGATGAGAGTTATATACATGTGTACTCACAAACATTAGGAGCACTGAATCACTCTTTAAGAACTATAATTCAAAGAAAAGGAATAATACCAATTCAGGATTAGATGACTATGTGATGTACATATATAAACAAACTATATAAATGAAAATGATTTATAGGTATAGATATATCATGTATGTATACATAGACATATATCTATGTTTATATGAGAAAGAAGAATAATACAGAGCAAAATGCTAACTGTAGAGAAATTAAGACATCTCTTATTGACTTACGATTTTTCAGTAAGTTAATGAATGGAAAATAAAGAAGTTCAAAAGAATAAGAAAGAGAGCATGGTTTAATAATTAGGAAATTCCGAAAGTGAGCAAAATGTCACGTACTATATTTCCAGCCAATAGGTGGTGCCAATAAGTACTAGTTTCCTTTTAAAAATATTGAAAGCAAAGCTTCCAAAGCAGTGTGCAAGCCTGGAGCACTGATCTCAGCCTTGAGAACTATACCAATTCGCCAGTATTGGATTTATTGACCCCATTGTTCTGTGAGACTAGAATACTGAACCCTTTAATACCCCTATCTGCATCCTCCTCCCAAACTACACATTAACTCTCTCAAAAGCCTTCTTTCACCTAAGCTAAATAAAAAACAATGTCTACATCCTTTTGGAGGTAAGACTAATCCCCCTGAATCTCATACATTCCTTCTAGCTCTAGGGAATTCCTTCTTAACCTCTGCAGATTAAAGTACAGTTGACAGAAATGCAATTTGTACTCATCTTCCTGAGACAAAAATAGAAAATTGTGAAACCTGATTTGATTAAAACGTTTGGTTTTTTCTAATTGTAAATATATATATATATATATACACATTATATATGTGTTTGTATGTGTGTGTTTGTGTGAAAACTACTATGCATGTAGAAAAAACAAAATTTTATAAGTACACAGAGAATGCTGAACAATTTACAGTTTTTCTTAAGTATACTGAAACACAGCCAATAATTTTTACACAATGTATTTCAAGTCACAGAGCTAAATTTGTCTCAGTAAATCATATTGGCTCTGTCTTATTTCACATTCCTAGAATTCAACTGCTAATGTATCTCAGAGGTGACATTTATAATAACCACTTGCTCACAAAAACAAAACTAAGACCATTCAAACGAATATTTTTAGAATTAGATTCTTTTTTTGGTTTGTTTTCTATTTGGGGGGTCATCATCTGTCAGTGCTCAGGGCTTACTCTTGGCTCTGCACTCAGGCATCACTCATAGTAGGTTCAGGGGATTGCAGATCAAACATAGGTCTGGCCACATTCAAGGCAAATGCCCTACTGGCTGCGTTCTCCCCCGATGCCCCAGCTCCAGAACTTCAAATTCTTATAATATTACTTTTGGATTTTAAAATTCCCACACAGCATGAGCTTTGGAAATTTAAAAATCCTTAACCTAACTATATAATTATTTTTTTTTAATGTTAAATGGATCACTTGCAACTACAATTGATTCCCAGTTTCTAAATTCAACAAAGATAGTGGTTTATGTACTTATA